AATATAAGCCAGAAAAGGCCTTGTCTGAAGAGGACTTGAAAAACGCTGTGAGTGTGCACCACGCCCTGGCATCCAAGGCCACGGAGTATGAGAAGAAGCCGAATGTGTTTAAACTTAAAACTGCTGACTGGAGGGTCCTGCTTTTTCAAACCCAGTATGTTTCATTAATTTGGGGGTTTTTTTATTTGTTTTTGTCTTCTGGTTTGCTTAGCGCCACTTTATACCAAGGAATAGACTCAGGCTCTACAGGGGAAGTTTTTGGAGTTGGAGTCAAAGTCATGAATTGGTTGCATTCGAGAGAACTAAAAAGACTATAATAAAAAATAGAAACCTTGGGTTCGAGTTTTTCATCTGCAGCAAAGTAGCCCTGTGACTTTTAGTTGACATTTAACATCCCTTGAACTCAGTATCTTCATCAGTAAAATATGAGGGTTTTAGTAGATAAGTTCTGTCACAAAACGAGTAAAATAGACCTGGATTCAAATCACATTTCTAGCTCTCTCTCCCAGAATGTAATTTAACCTCTTTGGACTTCAGCCTATTACTAATGTATGTAGTAATGTTTATCTCCCAGGGTTCTGGTGAAGATTAAATGAGAAGTGTGTGAAGTACCTTACACTGTCCCTGGCACATAGAAATTGTTCAATAAATGTGAATATTTATCTTATTCTCTTGTTTTCCTTTCCTTCTGAGTGTTAATAAATAATCTGATTATACTAGAAGGAAAAGATAAAATCATGCTGTGGGCAAGAAAATCAGATGGATTGCCAGTTTAATGAAGGGTTCAGTGACAGACTTCAGATTAGAAGTGGAGCATTCCACACAGAGAATACTGGATTTGTGAAGTGAGAAACTTTGGACTTTCAGAACTGAGCCTCTAGAACAGGAATGTTAATAGGGGCCACACATAGATAGCTTCAGTGTCTGTGCAGACAGTGTTAATCATTCACGGCTTGAGCTTGACTTCAGAATCACCCCCAGCATAGGACTGTCAGCTGACCCTGGAATGAAAATTTGAATTTGAAATCAAGGTTGTGAACACAAGTATCTGCATACTGGTTGATAAAAGCAATGTAAGATCAAAAAAATGAAAATAAGAACA